TATTAAAACTCTGAACTATACTAACTATATGATAAACTTTTTTTTATGGTGAATACGTTCCGTGTTGTGTTTACACCGTTTGTAAGCATCACCGTTTGTTCTTGTTTAATATTTGATAGACAACAAGGCTGAATTGATGCTTACAGCGTGTGATCGGGAAGACAGAATACACCCTATATTATCACTTTGAAGTATTTCTTTATTTTTTTAAATAAACGATAGAAACATTTTTCTTACATACAGTAATTCTTTAAAATATGATATATGAGGGATTTTTGAAGTTGTTTATTACGAATATAAAAGTCAGAGAGAGAGAGATTAAAAATTTTTTTTTAATTCGAAGTCAACATAATATATCAAAGATACAAAAATTGATCCAGTTACTTAAAATTAGATATTTGATCGTTTTTAGGATCGGTAATGACTATAATATAAAATGAAAATAGAAAATTAAAAGTAACAGACCTAACACATGCCAAAAAATTGACTAATTTGTATAAAATGAAAGCAACAGTTCATGATTTTAAATTTGATAATTTTTGGCTTCAGATTAAAATTGCCAATTCCAAAAACGATCAGTATCAACTTTCATAAAATCGGTCTATTTCTTGCAATATTGTTGCGCCTATTAAATCAGCTATTTAAAATCTTTTTTATTTTGTTTTTACTTTGTTACAATTTTATTTTGTTTAAAATTATCTAAAAATACGCCGAAAATCAAATTTAGTGTAAAATTAATGACTTTACGATTTTGGTAAGTCATATTATATTTAAAAAATTTATAAATTTTGACTTTGTATTCGCAATCCCAAGAATTTCAAGAATTCTTTATCAAGTTTTAATATATCTTGTGCGAAATTTTTTATATTAATGCATTAGCATATTTTACATAAAACAAAAATTTTTCGTACTTTGAGTTGCTATATTGAGTAAATTGTTGTGAATATTGTAATTTTTACTTCAGATTTAGATTCAGCAATTCAAAATATACCTATTATAGATATAAAGTTGCAACAAAATTGAAATGAAAGAAACAACTTTGTAATTATAAAAGGTGTGAAAGATATAATATACCGTGCTTCAAAAAATTAAATTTATTCAATACATTTTCTAATTTTTTATATTAAAACAATTTAGAAAAAACATATAACATACCTAAGTACAGGCAATAGGAGTCAACGCTGGTCGTCAATTAGCGCAATTCTTCTTTATATTAAAAAGATAAACTTTGACTTTGAACGTTTTCACTCATGATTTGAGTCTTTATTAGCAATCTTTCCCCCTAGCGCAACGGTTGGAGAATTGCATATTAAATTAATATCTCCAACGTTTTTCCTCTCAAAATTGAAACCGTTAACTGTTGTGAGGTAAGTCACATACTCACAAAGTTAGAAAGTTGAGTGACAATAAGAACTCAAGCTCACACAGTTGACGCTTCTACACTGAACAATAAATCTTTCTTATGCAACATTTTGTACATTGTTAGTATGTTAAAAATTATCATCAAATTTTAAAATAATAACTGCGAGATCAATATGTGTCTTGTCATTTCGACAGTTGGTTGAATAAATAATATCTAAATGTATAGAATAAATAAACAAGTCTTTATATTAAATAATAATTCTATTTTTTGACATACTTATCGTTTATAGGAATTTAGATTGTAATTCACAAAAACATATTTTACCAAAAATTCTCATTAATCATTAAAAGTGCAGCATTTTAATATTCAATACAAGTATTAAAAACCTGTAGTTCATCTTATATATACATCATATACATACGTATATGACAGACTTTCTATTAATAGCAGTGACTATTTCAATGTGCAGTCTAAGATATAAACTATAGGGTATATAACTCCGGTATATATGCCGCACCTATCGGAAACTTAATTTATTAAGTATTATTTACTATGTTTAAAGTAAACGAACTATATGAGTAAAAGCTTTGTACTGTCTACACACACATACACACACACACACACACACACACACACACACACACACACACACACACACACACACACACACTATTATGAAAAAAATATTAAAAATCCGAAATATTTATATATCGTATTAAAAAATGAACTTTTTTAAACCCTTGCATTTTTGCTGTATATCTCATAGAGGTGGGAAATATGGCTACTCATAGGGGAAGGGGAAGGGAGTATGTATGGCTCATAAAAAATTTACAAATAATGCTTATAAATAAGACGTAAAATGACACAATAACTTATAAAATGCGTTTATAAAGTTTTATTAAGAAGTAAATTTATAAAATTTTATTAAGGAATAAGAATAATAAATATGTATATGAAGTAATAAATGATAATTACTATCTTCCCAGATATATTACAAATGTTATGACATGAGGTATATATTTCATGTAACGTGTTTATTGTATTTAGTGCACTGAATTCAATCTGCGCACTTTGTATGCTTTGTGCATAAATCTCGCCTGTTAAAAATGCCATACCTATATCCCAAACAGGTGGTATATACAAGACAACAAACTAAACAAAGAATACAAGAGCAAAGTACTTGTATTTTGTTATACAACATACTTTACTATTCCTCTACATTCACGTATCACGAAATAACCACTAATGCCCATTTCCAATGTAGATTAACTTTAATCTTGGTTCAACTTATTCTTTGTCTTTTTTAATATTTAGAACTTGAAAAAGACGAAGAGTAAGTTAAACCGAGATTAAAGTTAATCTACATTCGTGGAAACGGGCATAAGTCTTTTGCACATCTTACAGTAATCATTTTATGTAGATTATAATTTATGATGGCGCTACTTAATACAGTGACAAATCGATTTAACTCACAATAATTTCATTAATTAACAGTAAGAGACTGAAATCTTAACATAATACTAATATAATAAGTCTTATATTACATAAAGGCATGTAACAGAGTAGTTGTGGGAAAATTACCCCCACTCCTTCTATTTTTTCTAACTTCTGTGGCGTAAATCTCAGCGCGGCGTATTTGCCGGAGTTACCCTATAAAATATAAAATATTTTTTAATATTTAAATTTCTATTTATATAGAATATTTCTATCAAATAGAAACAACGCGATCCATTGAACAGTTATAAAGATAAGGAACTAAAGTAATAAATGTAAATCCGTTACTGTTACTGTAAAAATGTAATAACTATCATTAAAAAATAAACATAGGAAAAGGCAATAATCGTTATCACAAAAAGTTATAGTGAACTTATAGAACGTTACAAATCACGCGTTAATTCCCAATCCTGATTTTAAACAATTTATTTATAAATAATTATAAGTATAAATGATTCATATATAACATCACAAATGGGTAAAGCTTATATCTTCTTTAACAATCGGATGACAGTTTTCATATGAATGCAGCAAAAATAAGTAAAAAACGCTATTATAATTGTACTAATCGCGATTGCAAGAATTTCTTCGAGAGTTTATGAAATATACGTGAATAAACTTGGATGATATGTACACATAACGTAATATATTCGGCGTATATAAGCACTAACACAATCTCAAATTTAATTTTGTTTACTGTCGCGACAAAACAATGTCTCATTAGAAATCCTAATTGATATAGCACGACGTAGTATGGAATACACATATACGCAGTATGTAAAATCAATCCTTGACCTTCGAGCACTCACTTTACTTTTTTTGCATCGTAATGCAAGACTTGTATGTCACACGCGTTCACGAATATCATGGATTAAGGACGTGCATAGTTTTTTCCACATTTATTTTATTATTTGTCTTTTTAAAGCACATAACATATAAATTTCATGTTCCTAAAAATGTAGCTGTTTTACTTAATAAATTTTTATTATTTTAACAATAGTATGATATTAAGTACAATGTAGAAAGTAAGTATAAAATTAACGTTATTGTTAAATGCAATTTATTGTAACACTTTTATATTTTAAATATTTATTTTATATAAAAATTTAATATCAAAATTATTAGTAAAAACAATTAAAGGTTTTAATTTACGTCGAACCCACTCAAATATCACTCAAACAATTGACTTAAACATTTCAAAATAAATATTTAATCAGAAAATCAATGCGTATCATTATAAAATACTATAAAGATATATATATATATATTTTTTGTATTTTAATCAATTATTTTATTAATAAAGACAAAATCTCTATGTGTATATCATTAAACATTATAATTTTAATCATAAATTTAAAATTAAGTTAGTTTCTTTCAATCAAGAATTCCATCCAACAAAGTATTATGTTAAATTGATTAGGACTTTATTTGTGCTATTCTATTAATATACCATTAGTATTAATTACACTAGAATAAAGTTATAATATGCTTGTAAGAACTCATAATTAAATAATAGTTTTTATTTTAATACGATTTAATAAATTAAACGTTCGCTCAAATTCTGTGTAATATAGCAATTCTGATTTCTGACATTATATATATCTGCAAAGAGAGAAAGATAAAGGCACATTTTTTAAATATAAAAACAAAATGTACTAATAAATATTCTTCTATTATAAATTATATTCTAAATATATGGAATATTCTTGAATATAAATGATAACAAATAAAGATTTTAATACAAAATGACCAAAAAAGAACATTTTAAAATAAAACAACTTTTTTAAAATAAAATCTAGAATAAAATAAAATTTTATTCTAGAGAGAAAGAGAGAGAGAGAGAGAGAGAGAGATGCTTTTGTTTAAACAAAGTTTTCTTCCAAATTTGCTTTAATTATTCACTTTACAAAAAGAAACTCATTAAATTACTCATCTTAAACATTCGCAGTAAATTAGTCATCTTAAACGTTTACGGGATAAATTATCTGAACTATGTATCATTTTTATATTATAATGCATGTGAATTCACAGTTCACCGAACGAATACGGATCTCATCGAGCTTATCCCTTCCAGTGGCAAGTGACTAAGAAATATCTACCGGTGAGTCTGAGAAATCACTGCCTACCTGCGTACAGTCTCAGTCCTCCGTTAGTAAACCCGAAGATGTCGTTTGGTGTGGTAACTAACTGCTTACTTATCATTTCTATAGCTCTAGTTAACGGAATGCCACAGAAAGATGATATAGAACAAGAAAAGTCTGAATCAGTGAGTAGAACATTTTTGCTTTGTTATACCGTTGTTATATTTCACTTTGTCCTAATTTTCTTTGATACATGGGAGTTAGAGCTTTCTTTGATACATGGAAGTTCTCATTTATTAAAAGAAATAAATTGTAACATATATTATTTAAAATAATAAATAACAATATGATTAAGACTAATGAGAGTCAGCGCGGAAATAGATACGCGTAAGTGTTAATTTATATAAGAAATACTTCAAAATAATAGATGATGTACAGCTTTATTACGAAATCTTGAACGTTTCCACTCTCTTTATTGGAGTCATTCTCAACAAGTTATACATATTCAACGATCTGTCCATGATGAGTCACTATCAGGTTTCCAAAACTGTAGTGTAATCTCAAATAGACGTCAACCATGTCATGAAGCTTTGGCAAATATAAATTCTCTAACTAATAAATTAATCATGCTACGAGCACCCAATTAATTAACAGTTGACAATTCGGAGTCTCAAATGGTTCTCAATATATCATTTATATAATAATATTGTCAGTACAAATATTACTATTCATTAGGATGTAGCGTATTACTTATCTTAGACTAGAATAGGAAATTCTAAATTAAGTTTATATCTTATATATGCTCACAATTGATTATGATATTACGAATTGTATGTATTTCGAAAATGTTAAAGCAACCCAGAGTATGGAATGAGAAAGGTATTATTACGTCGCTTCTAGCTACAGATGATGAAATGAGAAACTGAATGTGAGCATATATTTCTTACATCCCAGCCAGTCAATTACGTAAAATATGCATGCGTTACTACAAGCTAAAATATCACATTGAAAAAACAACAAATAATGACGCACAAGTCAATTTTCCATTAATATAAGTGTTTTTATGTATTTAGTGTAGAATAATGGCGAGTTTGCAAAATTATGAAAAATTTCTAGACATAACGCATATCAATACTATATCTTGATTCAACAAACTTATTTAATTACAAGTCTATAATTACGAACACGATCTCGATTCTGCATACTCATAGTATCTTAGACGTCACACACGGATAATTATTAGACTTACGAAGAAACGCATTGATGCCTTACTTCTGAAGAACTGATTCCATGTAGTCGATTGCTTCGAGAGGAAAAGTTATACCTTAAGTTGGTTAGATAATCAGACTCTCTTGTAGAGAGAAAGGTTTACGGAAGGTTGCGATAGAAGATTGCATAAAATTTAATCGTTTTGTTGTTTAATTAGTCTATTGTTGAATAAAAATATTGTTTCAGGAAGCTATAAATCAATAACAATTATTTATTATAGCAAAAAGAATACGTCGATTAAAACTGAAGAGAATAAGTCGATTAAAACTAATAAGAAGCCACAGAATATAAGCAACAAAATTAAGTTCTTTATTCATAAAATTGAAAGGAAAAAACAAGCAAACAAGTTTCATATCGCTAACAAACGTAGCAATAAAAATAAAGGAAGTACAGAGTTCAAATATAATTATAGTGCTTATCATAAATCTTTAGCATGCTGCAAACGTAAATCTTTTTCTGATAATATCACCAGTCATTAAAAATATTCCATGCTATCTGGAAGTAGTGCGGTATCCACTTGTTATTATTGTATTCATTGCATATCTTAACATAGCTTGCTTACCTTGGAATGATCTTTAAAACACCATAAACGAACGGTAAATTCGGTTAACGCACGCTACATAAATCTCAGTGTCAACGCAAAAAATTTTGTACTTAACCTGGAATTCGCATACCATTTTTTTGCCTATGTAGATATTCAACGCGAAAAAAAAAATAATTGAGGGAAATTGTTGTATCGCGCAACGGTCACGGTCACTAGTCTCGAAATTATCCGGAACTTCTGCGATTGATGAAACTCGCATGCACACTCTTGGAAAGATCCGGCTTTTATATCTTACAGTAGAGAAGAGACAGGATTGTAATTGCAATTGCATTATCACCTACAATCTAGATATAGAATAAAGATAACAATAAAGAAATTTATATAAATTAATAAAAAGCATCTATCTACATAACGTCATGTTTCTTATTAATGCCAAAGCGTTTTTAGTTTAATAAGCAAATATAATTTTTCATAAATTGTTGTTAATAAATATATTATTATAATAAAAATTGCGCAAAGAATTAGCGTCGGCTCTCAGCCTTAAAGCTTAGTATTGTTATAATAATTTTCCATATTTGCTTGATGTAGCCTCCATTTATTCAATTCACTGACGGAGGAATCCGACTGAACTTTGGAGGGTATCATGCTGAAGCTGGACTGGGCGGTCTTTTACGAGGTACGGGTGGTGGACTTTTTGCGAGTGCTGGAACACCATGGGGTGCACATGCTGGCGCGGGATTAGGCGGTAAATTAGGTGCAGATGGCAAGCTTGGTTAGTATTAAACGAAAATAAAAAATATACGTACACTATATATTGGTCAAAATTTTGTCAAATAAATATAGCCCAAACTTAAAAAAAAATCTAATAAAAAAATGGCATTCTGCACCAATTCAATAAGATCTCAGTATTTTCATTAAAAAATAGAAGTATATTAAACAAACATTAAATGAGGCCACACAAACGCGAGCAAAAATTACTTCAGGCGGTGGTCTTTATGCTCGAGCTGGAGCCGGTCGTGGAGGACCAGAAGCGGCTGCTGGCCTCGGTGGGAAACTGGATGGCAGTGGACGGTCAGTTAACCCGATTGCGGGTGGCTTGTACGCAGGAGCAACACCTGGCGGCGGTCCAGGTCCGGGCGTATTTCTCGGCGGTGGTTTTGATCAACCTGGATTTGATGGAATTATAAGTGGCAGCACAAATAACGAAGCTAATTTGAATCCACCTGAGGCCGCTGCGAGAACATTTAACACCCCAGCAAGTGCGGATACAACTGCAAGTGGAAAGAAACCGATAGGTCGCACGAATATACAAATCATACCTTCGAAGACGCACAAAGAGAAAGAGGTTTCAATCGCGATTTCCTAGCTTATATTTTTATTCTGTAAATAATATGGAATACATCATTTTGATTTTCTAGGTCTCAAATACAATACATAAACGACAAGTTGAGACACGCGTGGAAGAAAATTGACAGTCTTCTAACGCATCTTCCGTAGAATAGTCGTAGTTTAGTACTTAATCCTAATAAGTTGAATAACCAATTTTAAGTTCATATTGGATACTTGGGATACATATTTTAATCCGTCGATCATCTTTGCATAATATATTCATGATGGGATATCGTCTTTAAACTAAATCTATCGAACGCAGAAGGTGTTACAAGCTGACGCGATGCTACGAGCTGATGCACCCGCAGGTGAGAAAGCCGAGTCGCAAAATAAGGAGGTAAGAAGCAAATTGCATGTCGACCAAACATTTTGAATATTTGAATTGTTGAAAATTTGAAAAAAGAATGAACAATTTTTCTGAAATATTTAAAAGGAGTTGGCGCATTTTAGACAATTTGGAGAGCACGCAGGAATCATTGTGTTCACATTTTTTTTATTCAATTTTATTAGCTGAATTCGAAAATCGTATTTAAAATTGTCCTGGTATCGGGGAAATATGTTTTTCACATTTTAAACAGAAAAAAAACAAAGATTTATTTTATCATTTTATTGAACCATGTCTGCGAATTTCTTTTTGTTTTTATAAAAATTAATTATTAATTATTAAAGTTGTAACTTTTACTTGCACTATAGAATAAATAAGATTTTGTAGTGAAGACTTATTATAGAGCATTTATGAAGCGGAATACTATATATTGGATTAACAGAACCTAAAAATAAATTCCTTTATATTCTTTTATTTACATTTGTACATTTATGTATATATTTACATTTTACATATATATTTCGCGCATTTGTACGAATTGTACAAAATGTACATTTGCGAGAGAAATGCTTCTATTAAATAAAAAATAAGACAAAAACAAAGAAAAATTCGTAGATATAGTTCAAAAAAGTGATAAAACTGTTGCTTTTTTCTGTTTAAAATGCGAAAAAAAAATTTCCCGGATATCGGGACAATTTTAACTACAATTTTTGAGTTTAGTAAGTAAAATTAAGTAAGAAAAACAGTGAACACAACAATCCCTGCATGCTCCCCAAATCGCCTAAAATGCACCAACTCCTTTAGCTAGATATAGATAAAAATACAATTTTGTTGGATAATCGGGAGGGCTCCGTTTGACCACAATCCCGATTGCCTACAGCTTCGTTTTTATATCGTTCTTAACTTCATGGCATTAGGAATTAGGAATAAAGAATAAACGATTTCAACCTATCAAAAACCGTGTATTCCGATGTATC